TAACCCTTCAATTGGCCGATCGGACTATTATGATTCCAAAGGGGAGAGTTGAGGATGTTCCTCTCAAGATAGGCCCGTTGATTTCATTGTGCTTGAGATTGCGGAAGATGACCATATCCCTATCATTTTAGGAAGACCTTTCTTAGCCACTTCGGGAGCCTTAATAGATGTGAAAGGAGGTCGTATTACCTTGAGAGTTGGTAAGAAAGAGGAAAGTTTTAAGTTGAAACCAATGCATGAGTCTTTATCTCTTGTGCAAGGAATTATGTGTGCTAATTCCCCTCGCTCTATTGATAATGTGTGCATGATTAATTCTCCAACTAACGATGTTCTTCAGAATTGTGATGATGCTCTTTCAAGTTTTGATGGCAAGAAAGTTAGTGAAGAGAAAATGATGATTCCCAAGCTTATGCACGAGGAGGAAGTTGAAATTCCTCAGTAGTTTGAGCTCTATCCTCAAGATGAAGGGGATGTTTCCATGAGTATGGATGGTGAGGAACCATCTACAATGAACAACAAGCCAAAGAAAAAAGCTCGTGATTCTAAGAAGAAGAGAGAGAGAAAGAAGTTACGGAAAGAAAAATTTGCAATTGAAAAGTCTTTGATGGAAGTTTCATCAAGCAACAACAAGAGATTGCTAGAAGTTGAAGAAGAATTTTCTCTTTCCGCTTCTTTGAAGAAGGAGGTGTTCTTTGACCCTCCATGATTTGGAGGAAGGGTCGAGCTTAGGACCATAAGCAAGCGCTTCTCGGGAGGAAACCAGGAGATTTCTAACTTTTCTTAAATCATTATTTTTGAATTTTTCTTATTTTTCCTTCTTTTAGTTTCTTTTCTTTCACTTTTCTACTTGTTTGGATTTGTAGGTTGCATTTTTGGGATTGGATTTCATCAAGTGAGCATGAGGAATGAGAAGGTGCTTGCGGTTTTTGATGTGATTACATTCGATATCATCGGAATTTGAGGTAAAAGGGTAAGAATTTTAGTAAGGTAAGATAGGGAATTTTGTGCTTTAAAGTTGAAAGAATTTTGCACTTGGTGGGTTCATGTGGTGCTACCATTATTTTGGGATTTTGAACCCACTAAAATCTTGATTTGAATCTTCCACTTTCAGTGGGTTCAAGAGCCCAAATGTTGATCTTGATCGATAAACCCACCGATGAACGCACCAAAAATAAAAAAAAAGAGAAGAAGAATGGGGCTAGGCTCAGGTGCGGGCGCGCACGTGGTTGGTGCGGCCGCGCACCTGACTGGTGCGGGCGCGCACCTGACTGGTGCGGGCGCGCACCTGCCCGTGCTCCCCCTTACCTTCTTTTCTTTCCTTCCTTATTTCATTTCCCCTTATTTCCTCCTTCTACATTCGACCCCCATCAACCTCAAACCCTTAAAACCGCACCACTTCCCTCTCATTCTCATCAAATTTCAACACAAATCACTCAATTTTTCACTTCAAATTCAATAATAACTTCTACATTTTCATCCAAATCATCAAATTCATACTACTTTCACCAAATTAAACCTCCAATCTCTCTCCTCCATACTTGGGTATAATTTGGGGCATTTCAATTTGGTGGGAATTGGTGGCTAAAAGTGGTTCAATCTTGCTTCATATATGGTATAATCATCTTCTCTAGTTTTTAATTACTTAATTGTGTCATATATTTGCAAGTTTTGATTTGTTCATGAGCATGAATAGTAGTAGTATCATTTTTTATGATTTTGATGATTGATATTGGTTTTTGGATGATTAATTTATTTGTTTGTTGCTTGATTTCAACTCACATTGTGTTGTTTGTTGATTTTGTAGCATTTGTGAACAATTTTGTTGAGAAATTTGGAATTTGAATTTTGGTAGTTTGGGTAGTAAGGTGATATTGTGGTATTGGTTGGTTCTTCTTGTGATTTCGATTGTGTGGGAAGAAATTGTTGGTTGTTTGGCAATTTGGATTGGAATTGTGATTGGTGGAAATTGAAGATCTTGGTTGGTGAATTTTGCGGATTGTTGTTGGAAATTTTGTGATTGGTTTTTGTGATCCTACACTTGGAGTTCATCATGTCGAGAGTCCTCAAAAACCTTGTCAAGAAACGCAAAACAAACACCTCCATTGATGAACCTATCCCAAGCACATCCACCTTCCAAACACGCAAACGTACTCCACCACCCAAAAGAAAAATCCACGATTAAAAACAAAAGAACCGATACCATCAATTAAAGGAAAACCGCTCCCTCAAGCCCACAAGGAACTACTTCCAACCTGACATGTCCGAGTTGGGGATTGATGAGGATGTAAGGGAGTTTTTGATCAACCTTCAGATGGGCACATTCATCTCCCATAGCTACCGCACCTATGTTGAGCCCACTCTCGAGTTCTTTGCTACGGTTGAGATAGTTCCCGTAGAAGGTCAATATAGGGTTCGATTCCAGATTTTCAACTTCTTCGACTATTCCTTAGAACAATTCAATGCCGCTCTAGATTTTGATCCTCATGGTGACATCTTGGATCTAGAGCCTTATATTTTTGAGGAGTATGATCAGGATTCTTGGTGGGATGATATCTCCGGAGGTGGTGAGTTTGTCACCAAACAAGCCAAGATTAGCAACGTGTACCAACCTTGTCTTCGGGTTGTTCACCGTATTTTGGGGTTCTCGGTTTTCCCCAAGCAAGAGTTGGGCAAGATGAGCAAATTGGAGCTCAAAATTTTATGGTTGGCCACTAGAGGAGAATATCGTGGACGGTTGAACTTAGGGTACATCTTTTCCACTTATTGTGTAGCTTTGCAAGACCTGGACACCGGGGAGATTCCTTGTGGGGGAATGGTCACTAGGCTCTTGACCAACCTCCACCTCGATCATCATTTGCTATATTGCAAGCCGGTTGGAGATACCGCCTCCATATACCTTGATATGAAAAAATTGGGGCCAATTCAATTCATCTCCAAGCTTTATGAGGAGGGGCATTATGAGTGGCTTCGGGATAACAAGCATTGGTGCTACCTTCCCAACCCATCTTTGACACCTCTCCACTGGATGGACACCCTAATGTGTGGCATGTCCCCAAGAGCTTCCGTCGCCCCTTCTTTGACTCCGATGAAGATGAAGAAGAAGAAGAAGAAGAAGAAGAAGAAGAAGAAGAGGAGGATGAAGAGCCACAACATCAACAACAACAACAACAACAACAAAAACAAGGGCAAGTGCAACAACCTCAACTTGCTAGCTCCGACTTGGAGACCCTAAGCAACCAAATGAGTGGGTTGAAAATTCGCTTGGAGGGCATGTATGACCAAGATTTTGAGGCCCTCTACTCCCAAATGCGAGGTATTTCCGAAATGCAACAAGGTATGTTCATTCAACAACAACTTTATGATGCGGAGGTTAACCGAGGGAACATCACTCCCCCGGTTAACTATCCTTACTTTCTGCCCTATCAAGGTCCTATACCTTTGCATGGGCATCCTTATTGGCAAGGGCCTTTAGAGCCCAGTACCGACCCTCATTCTTACCCGGACAAGCATGGTAACTATGATTACCGTGCTCTCGGAGGGTGTGACTATCGGGGTGACCCTAATTACCCCTATGTGCACCCTCACCATCCATTTGAGCTTGCCTTGCCCAAGCAATTCACACCTCTTGCCCCTTGGCAGCAAGATAACTTCAAGGGGCATTATGGTTGGCCCGAGGGATTCACCGGAGGTTGAGCTCCTTACTCACCTCCAACCTTCGATGACTACATGGGCAACAATGATTCCAATGAGGCTGGGCCGAGTGGTGGTGGTAATGATGAGTCTTAGTTCCCTCACTTTTGTGCCTTTTACCTCTATCCCTTATGTTTTATGTGCTTGACTTTTATTGTTGGGATGTTGAGATGTATTCATGTTTAGCTTGGGGGAACTTCATTTGTATCTCAGTTGCCAATATTTGTTGTTGTTGCTTACCTTGTATTTTATTTGCCTCTTGCATGATGGTTTTCATTTCTTGGTCTCTAGTCTTGATGATGCTTGTTACTAGTCCCATGAGCTTGTTTTTCCATTGTTGTTGTGATGTTTTCTTTGTGATGATGTTGATTGATTCTTGCTCCCTTATATCCAAAACCCTCGAATCCAAATCCCTTTGAATCCAAATCTTGTAGTCTAGTGTCTTTTAATTAGTTAGTTGTTTACTTAGTCTTTCTTTACTTTCCTTTTTGGTCTTTGTTAGCTTAGTTTTTCTTAGTTGTTTAATGTTTTTGTTAGCTTCGTTTAGTTTTACTTTGTAGTATCTTTTTCTTTTGTTTTGAAGTTACTAACCTTTTTCTTTGTTTATAGCTTCTTTTACTTTTCTTGTTCTCACATGGCTTTTTGATGATGCTTACGATTTTGGAGCGCAACAAAGGTGGTTCTTTCTATCGCCTTTGTTTATTATGCAAAGCATTGATAGCCCGATGAGACCTTTCTAATTTTTCTCTTTATTTTCTTTGGATGCATAGATTAGGCTTAGTTTAGGGGAAGTTGAACGGTTCGAGGATGATTGCTTGTTAACACGTAATGTGTTTGGGATCGTTGACGATGTTGTCATTCGATCACTTGTATGTCGATTGGGATATATGTGTTTAACTTGCTTTCTAGCTCCTTTCTTAATTTTTCCTATTCTTCCTTTATCTATGGCTTTCTTTTTCTTTTCTTTTTCTTTTATTTTTCTTTTCCCTTATTTTTACTTTGTTCTTGTCTTGGTTTGTGGTATGCTTTTAAGGCTTGTTTTTCACCCCTTTTTGTTTTCCTTATGAATTGGACTTTTTTTTTTTTTTTTTTTTTTTTTTTTTTTTTTTTTTTTTTGGAAAATAAGATTTTATTACCGAAAAGAGAAAGTTACAACTTACAAAAGCTAAGTTATAACTACTACTAGAACACCAAAAGACCTGAAAACAACAGGCCACCCCACGACCAGTTCTAGACCCAAACCTAGCCACCTTCTAGGAAGGGTTCTAGGAAAGGCCTAGAACAACTGGACTCAGATTTCCGGCCACCTTCTAGGAAGGGTTCCAGAAACCAGGACCAGACAACAAAAACCAGAAAATAACACAGCCAAACACCCGAAAGTCACCAAAAACTACAGCCAGAAGCAGACAAGCCTGCAAACCGACTAAAGAAACCAAAAGAACAAAGATAAACAACAAAACGAGTACCAAAGCAACACTAAAAACAAACTGCAGCAACAAAGACAGCACCAAAACAGTCGTGCAGAAACAAAATCAGCAGGCAGCAAAGCACAGTAAGCAGCAGCAACAAACACCACTCAAAGTCTACAGCAGCACACAGCAGCAAAGACAGCAGAACAGCAGCGCAGCAGGAGCAAAAAGTCAGAACAGCAGCCGGCACTGCAGACCATCAGCAACAGCAAGCAGCAGGCACAGCAACAGCAACACAGCAACACCAACAGCAAACTGCAGCAGATAGCAGGCACAACACAGCAGCATAAAACCAGCAGATTAACAACAACATACAGCAGTGCAGCAGCAACCAAACCACAACAAAACCAGCAAACAGACTGCAGCAACAATAGCAGTAACACACCAGCAGTGCAGCAGCACAGAAAGCAGGCAGCAGCAACACAGCAGCACAGCAGAGCACAACAACACAAAACCAGCAGAGCTACCAGCAGACAGCAGCTAGAAACAGCATGCAGAAAAGGAAACCGATACAAAAAGAAACGACGGGAAACCCAGTATTAGAACCCAATCCAATGAAACCAGAACATAAACACATAGAGCCCGAGACAAGCCCTAAACAATCAAATATTTTCTTCCCGTCGAGATTCTACAAACTGAGTGAAAGACAATATCCCGAACAAGGGCATCAACTGATTTGCAACAACCAGTAAAGAGAACTGCATTCCTTTGAATCCAAATACCATAAACCGTTTCAGTGAAGGCCACCTGGATCACTTTATTCTTCAATCTAGAACTTCTGCAGATTTTCTTCATCCAATCAATCTCATCACTAAACTGCCGAACAGGCTTGGAAACACGTAAGATCCCCAAAACCTTACTCCAAACCTTCCTAGAGAAATCATAATCAAAGAAAAGGTGCTGAACACTTTCATTGCCATTCAGACAATGGAAACACTTTGGATCACAAGAGATGTGCCATTGAAGCAACCTATCCTTAGTGACAAGCCTATTCCATAAAGCTAGCCACAATATGAAAACACTCTTGGGAGTTGCTAAGTTATGGCAAGTAACTCTCTTCCAAGGAACTTTAGGCACTTGAGGCCTAATAGCAGCATAAAGCTTCTTGATTTTCATCTTGTTGCCCTGAACAAAACCATTCCATCCCCCTTGATCATTCACAACATCTCTACAACTCAAAATCTTCTTCAAGAACCAGAAGCATCTAACAGGGGTAGGAGTGGTCCAACAATCTTTGTGCTTGAAATAGTAGATATGAACCCACTTAACCCAAAGATTATCAGCCTTGTGAGCAATATCCCAAAGTAACTTAGTGACAGCTGCTTTATTCCACTCAGGAAGAGAAAGCAGATTCCAGCCACCACAAACTTTAGGAAGACAGACATTATTCCAAGCAACCAAAGACTTCTTAGCAGGAGCAGAGGATCCAGTCCAAAGAAAGCATCTAAACCTAGCCTCAATCTCTTTCAGAATTTTCTTCGGAAGAATAAAAATTTGAGCCCAATAAGTCTAGATACCAAACAACACACTCTTCACCAATTGAAGCCTCCCAGCATAGGACAGGTGTTTAGCCATCCACCCATGAATTCTAGCAGTGACTCTCTCCACCAAAGGCCTACATTGAGCAATAGTAAGCTTCTTTGAAGAGAGAGGGACCCCAAGATACCTAAAAGGAATGGATCCTTGAGAAACACCAAGAAGCTCCCTCAACTCAATCTGAACATCAACAGAGACTCCTCCAAAGTAGACTTCAATTTTATCAAGATTAGCAGAAAGCCCAGAGGCACCCGAGAATTTCGAAAAGGCTTGGAAGAGAAGCTTAACAGAAACACTATCTGCTCGAGAAAACATCAATAAGTCATCAGCAAACATCATGTGAGTTAGGTTTAACTTTTCACATCTAGGGTGAAAGTTAAAGTCAGGAGACAACCTAAGCTCATCAAGGCATCTGGAGAGGTATTCCATACCAATAGCAAAGAGAAAGGGAGACATAGGATCACCTTGTCTGAACCCTTTCTTAGCTTCAAAGGGGGGGGGGGGGGCAGGAAAACCATTAATAAGAATAGAGTAAGAGACAGAAGTAAGACAATTCCAGATCCAATCAACAAACCTCTGAGGAAAACCTAGCTCCTGCATGACAGTGATCAAGAAACCCCACTCAATCGAATCATAGGATTTCTTCAAATCCACCTTAACCATACACCTAGGAGAGATAAATTTGTGATCATAGCCTTTGATCAATTCAGTTGCAAGAAGAATATTATCACCAATGTGCTTGCCAGGAATGAACCCAGCCTGAGCATCATCAATCACCTCACCAATGACAGCAGCAAGCCTAGCAGTTATGATTTTAGAAATGAGCTTATAGACCACAGTACAACAGGCTATAGGTCTAAAATCCTTAACATGAGAAGCAGAAAGGACTTTAGGAACCAAAGTAATAGTTGTAAAATTCCATTGCCTAGGCAAGATCCCATTATTAAAGAAATCAATAACACTTGCATAAATATCATCTTTCACAATATGCCAAACTCTCTTAAAGAAAAAGGAGTTAAAGCCATCAATACCAGGAGCTTTAGTGTTATCAATTCCCTTAAGGCCAGCATCAATTTCAGCATGAGAAATAGGCCTTATGAGGTAGCTCTGAGAAGCAGAGCTAAGCTGCTTACCCCTCCGCATAGTAACAAGGTCAACAGTAGGGAGCCAAGAAGCCTGAGTCCCTAAAAGTGACTTATAGAAAGAGATAATTTCATGAGAGATAGCATCTGGATCCTTAAGCAACACCTGATTAGAATAAAAAATGGAGTCAATTCTATTCCTTGCTTTCCTAGTCTTCATCACAGAAAAGAAGTAGTGGGAATTGCCATCTCCAAGCTTAACCCAATTAATCCTAGATTTTTGCTTGAAGATGCTTTATTGAATATCACTCCAGTGCTTAACAACCTTAATAGCATAAGATCCTTTAGCATACATATCCAAATCTTCAGGGTTCTGAGCCATTAAGGTTTGAATTCTAGTAAGCTCATCATTAGCCTGATCAATCTTTCCCTCAATGTTACCAAACTGCTTGCTAGTAAGAGATTTGATACTAGACTTCACAGAATTGAGCTTCTGCCAAACAGAACTACCAGAGCCCCAAGCCTGCAAAACAGTATCAAGAAAATCAGGGTGATCAGCAATACAATTTAGAAACCGGAAAGGTCTACCTTTCCCAACAGGGCCAAAGCAAATATCCAGCAAAACAGGACTATGATCAGATAAAGATGGAGGGAGATAAACAGTCTCCACATGCCCATGAGAAGCTAACCAAGCTTGATTACCAAAGGCTCTATCAAGTCTAGAGAGCGTTCTAGGGCCAGTATGAGCCTTATTAGACCAAGAGTAGAAGGACCCTTTGCTTTTGAGCTCAGTAAGGTCCAAATCATCAACCAAATTCTGAAAGTCTCTAGTCTCATAATCAGTAACATCAGCACCATGAAGCTTATCAGAAGCATGAAGAACAGAGTTATAGTCACCAACACAAAGCCACGGAGAAAGTTGGATAGAGATGCTTCTGAGCCCCTCCCACAAAGAAAGCCTATCATGAATGGAGTGAAGACCATAGACAACAGTGAGAAAAATCTGAGTAGAGAGATCCTTAGAAGAAACAGTACAATGAATGAACTGTTCATGAGTCTTCAAGACATTAACAGTTACTCTATCCACATTCCAACCAAGCCAAATCCTCCCTTTGGGAGAATGATCATAATTACACAACCAAAGCCAAGAAGAGCCAAACTTCTTCTGATAAGTGAGAAAATTTTTCAACTTGATTTTTGTTTCAAGCAATCTAACAACATCAACTGAATGAGAGTGAAGCAACCTCCTTACAGAGGCAACTTTGCCAGGGTCATTCAGGCCCCTGACATTCCAAACAGAGTAAATCATGACACCAAAGGGGGATTAACCTCACCACCGCTTGGATTAATAGTGAAACCACCTGCACCATCCATTTCATTTGCAAACAAAGCAACAAAGGCATTAGAGGTAGAAGCAGGCTGATGAACTCTAGTTTGCCGGCTTTTTGTTTTCCTCCCTACTATTCTCCAACCCTCATCTGAATTCTTAGAGGTATGAACCTGTGGAGTAATAATAGATTGACCATGAACAGAAACCCCAACATCAACAGCAGCAGAAGGAGCAAGGACATGGGTAGGCTTAGGAGCCCAAACTTGCTTTTGCTAAGGAGGAACAGGAGCCGGTTGCTTAGAAGCCTGCTTGGGCAAAGGAGGCTTAACAAAGCAATCATGACCAATCTTGTTACACTTAGAGCAAAAAGAAGGGGCCCACTCATACACCACCTTGATCTCCAATAATTCCTTCAAAGGACTCTCAACCCACACAGAGGTTGGCATAGGCTTTGTAACATCAATCTCAATTAGAACCCTAGCAAAAGACAATCTAAGCTGTCTAGTAGTACACTCATCAACGCAAATTAGCACTCCAAGCAAACTACCAAGGCGGCTAAGAGTGTGAGATCCCCAACAATTAAGTGGAAGATTAGGGAATTTAACCCAAAGAAGAATAGTTCTAAGTATTTCAGCATGAAAATCAAAATCAGGGCACTAAGGCTTCACTATTGCAGGCTTTCCAAAGAACATATGAGGACCAGAACAAAGAATAGTATCTCTATCAACACTAAAACACAAATTGATAATAAAGTACCCATCATCATGCCAATACACATCTGGTTTTTGCATATCATTCCATTGTTGAGCAAAGAAACGAAGAACAGCAGCAATAGTAGGATAAAAGCCAACCACATAAAAAACAAGAGCATTAGCCCATTTTCGATTACCTTCCTCAAGCTCGGCTGCTTGTAGCTCAGCAATTAGCTTACCATCTTGCACTTTCGGAGCAACAAAGGATAGTGAAGCTCCTTTAGAAGCCAATTTCCCAGCAAAAGGTGAAGCACGAGTCCCATTCTGCTCCAGAACAGGGGAAGCAGCTCGGTTTTCAGCAGAATTGCGCGAGCTCAGCTCCAAGTCAGAAAGAGGGGCAGCTCGTTCTTCATTAATATCATGCGCAATATGCTCCAGAGAGATTGAGGAAGGAAATACAGAGTGTCCTATTGCACCACCGAGCCTAGATCCACCAACATCCAATGGAATAGTAACCTTAGAAACCCTAGGTAATGTTCCACTGGACTGATTCGATTTGGCAGCAGTATTAGCACCAGAAGTAGCTTCAGCATCCAAAGACACGCCGGACATAGCACCACCAGCTGACTGAACTACCGCCGACGCCGGAGTAAGCATTTCATCCCCCTCTTGAATCGGGCTAGGAACAAAAGGGGTATTTGAAATCCCCAAATTCTTTAAAACTGAACCAACAACTTCATGAGCAGCCTTTTGTTGCGCAATTTGAGGTGTAGAAGTAGCTTGCTTCTTCTTCTTCGCCATTCAAATCCAGATTTGATGAAGAAAACCAATCAAAAATGAAGAACCATGGAGAAGAGAGAGAAGAGAGAAAGTCAACGAAAGTCAAACCTCAATTTTTTTGTTCCAAAAAGATTTGTTTTATGAATTAGACTTTGTACATTGGACTTTGTCTTTTGCATGAGTTTCTTCCTAGGTAGTAAAGGTATGCCTGGTTGAGACTATGCTTGGTTGACTCTAGGGTAGGTGTATGCTAGGGTAGTTGGTTTGAACTAGGAGGATCATGAAGCCGGATTCTACTTGTTTGTGGCATGTTGGTAGTTGCTCCCTATAGTCGATTTGACACCACTAGTGAGTTTTTGCTACATCCATGTGAGGTTCATTGTTTTTCAAGCCTTCAACCTATTTTGTATGAGCGGCGTGGATCCTTCACTATTGCGGACCTAATAATCTATAAATCTTGATTTATGATTCTTCAACCCGAGACCGAGCTATCTTGGGAGGACAAAGTCATCTTTTCGGGGTGGTATTTTTCATTTTTAGGATAGTTTGTTTCATGTTTGTTATTGGGTTTACATTTGCCTTCTTGCAACCATTTGAGCCTATTACCTTCTTTTCAAGCCACATCTTTAGATCTTTTGCCTTTTGTTTCATTTTCTTTCTTTTCTTGTTTTTTGTGAAGCAATTGATCATTCTTTATGGAGTTTGTGGTGAAAAAGTTGGGATATGTGGTTCCCTTGATGCAAGCTTGTGTTATGTTTTCTTTTTGAATAATGGCAAATGAGTATAAGTAAAAGCCGTCCTAAATAAAAAAAAGGGCATGGAAAAATAAGTGCAATATTTAAAAAGTCGTCCGAAGTTGGAAAGAGGCATGGACAAAGCATAGCAAACAGAACAAAAAAAAAAAAAAAAAAAAAACAAAAAACAAAAAAAAAATTAAAAAAGTGAAAAATTCAAAAATATTTTGATGTATTCTTTTCTCCTTCTAAGCATTGAGGACAATGCTTCATTTAAGCTTGGGGGAGATACACTTTTTGAACATATTCTTGTGAGTATAGCTTTGAATAAGCTTGGGGGTGTAGTTGTTTTTGTTTGGTGATTTCTTGATCGTGATGTTGAGGATTGATCACCCTTTTGCTTCACTATTTAGGAAAACTGCCAAATTTTAAAATTTAGCCTACCTTCACCCTTTATGCCTTACGTTATAACCTTTGGGAAAGCCCTTTCGACTTAGAAGTTGAGTCACTATTCGAGGGAGGGAATCATGGGTCATTGCCTAAGAAAAGGGGATGCATAGTCAAGATTGTCGAGTAGCCTAAATAAATCTCTTCTTCCGGTTCCTTCGAGGAATCATTGGGATGCTCACTAAGGGGAGATTTGAGACTAGTAGGGAGAACGCGGTAAGATCGTTTGGGATGAACGTGGATTGTGATGTCTAGTTCCTATGCTTAGCATACCTTATGTTTCAATCAACCTTGGATATCTTGGAACGTGCATACCTTGATTGCTTGAGAAAGATTATCGTTCATTTGCAATGTAGTCTCTTTGTAAGTCATTTCGCAAAGGTTTTGTTTTCCGTTTTCCCTTTTTCTTTTCTTTTTATGGTTTTGCCTCTTGGATGTTGGGGGAGAGTTATAAGTAAACTCTTAGGATACCCTTACGAGAGCATTACTCGTCCTCTAGGGCGATCTAGGGGTTTAAAATGGCTTGTTGTAGATAAAAACAACCGTGATTCCTACGACAGTGAGTCTAAGTGTATATTCTCATCTTGATTCTTTCTTTTTTCTTTTTGAATAAGTCTTTCATCCTTATTATTTCTTTCTTTGTTTTGCTCGAGGACGAGCAAAAGTTTATCTTGGGGGAATTTGATGAGTGTCATTTATGGCACTCATTTGGCTTCTTTTAGGATGATTTCATGCTATTTCATAGCTCTTTTCTTTAGTTTTCCTTAGTTTTGTTCTTTATTACTTTAGTTTGTGCTTTCCTTAGTTTTATTTCTTTGTGCATTTCTTTGTTTATTTGGTCTTTTTCCCTTTTATTTGCTTGTTTTCGTGCATTTTCAGGTTAGGATCGTGTTCCGAGGATTCCCAAGTCTTCCTCTCATATTTCTCATCATTTTGGATACCTCTTGCTTGTCTTTTGGAGCTCAAGTTTGAAGGAATGCAGGGAGCAAGTTCATGAGATCGGTGCATGCATGCGGTGGGGGCATCATCTTTGGCATGAACCCACCAAAATGGCCATTTCAAGACTGCCTACCTTAGTGTTCATCATCATCACCAAGACGAGTGCACGAGGATGAGCTAGGACGAAGAAGAGGATTGCTCCCCTGCTGCCATGTGTGGGCGCGCACGAGGGTGGTGCAGCCGCGCACCTGGTTGGCGCGGGCGCGCCTACCTAGGTCCCTGTTGCATACCCATTTTCCCGCGGCCGCGCCTCTCCCTTGTTGCGACCGCACCTTCCGGGGTTTCTTTTGGGACAATCTAACTAACTCTTCTTTTGTATCTTTCCTTTATATAGTCTTTCCTTCTATTTTTAGAGGGGGAATTCAATGAGAGAATAGAATTAGATCATAATTAGAGAGATTTTAGAGAGAGAAATTCATGGTGGATTGTTGATGATTGAAGATTTATTCATTTCCTTTGATTTTTGATCAAGTTTGTAAGGATTCCTTTTCTTTAATTCAATCTTTAGCTTGATCTTTAGTTTGATTTCATTGTTCTAGTTTGATTGAAGTTTGATTGATTTGTGTTTGATTTTAGCTTGTTTGATTTGATCATGATGAATTTGTTGCTTAGTGTTGTTTTGATCTTGATTTCAATGGCTAGTGAGTAGATTGTTTGCTAGGGTAATGGTGAAGCATGTATGAGTAATGGATTAATGCTAATTAGGGAAAATTAATGGAGTTGACGGTGTGATTAAATTGGTTGATGATCATGTGCATGTGTTTGATTAACTAAAGATTGTTGCACTAGATTGCGTTATAAGTTCACATTGATATGGACCATTGATTTGTGGCTTGCATTTAATGATTGAGGTTTCTTGTGACGTTCCTAGCTAGAGTTTATCGTAGTTGACGCTAGTTAGACCTCTAGGAAAATAGCTTGATACGCATTTTTGGTTGCATGATTGGTCTTCCCTCACATTGCTTGACTTAGTCACTTTGATCTCCCAATCAGTTGAATCCATTATGATTACATGTGGATCCTAACCCTAGCGTTTTACATACTTGATTTCAATTCGTTGTCTAGTCATCCTTGTCCTAGTTTACATACCTACACCCTACCATTTTGGAGTAGCTTGACTTAGGCAATAGATAATCGCCCACCGTTCCTTAGTGGTTCGACCCTCAACTTACCATTATACTTGTGTAAGGGTGTGTTGAGAGATTACAAATTTTGCTTGTCCTAGGGTAGAAGTTAGTTTCAACGACCTAGTTCTGACCCTTGTCAGCGGTTGATAACTCTGATCAGCCGGCCTAGAAGAAAAAGAAAGAGTGGAAGCCATACGTTC